TGAATGAATGCACTTTAGCTATTCATGCCTAAATTTAATACCTGCTTTTTGCAGGCATCAAATTTAGCCATGAATAAGCTAAAACTGCCATTTTAAGGTGCATTAAAGACTCACACATATAGACATGCACACTTAATGTGCCTGAAATCAGACAAAAGCACCTTAAATTGGCACATGTAGAAGCGCCCACTGAGTTTCTGATCATTACTCCTAGTTTAAACACTTCATTTTGCTGCCAGAGCCTTTAGTGGTACATCATAATCCTATGAAGCTGCTACATATAATTTACCATTGTTCTGTCTTGCTACTGCTACAGGCTCGTTGGCGTGTCTTTTGAAAGAAAACAAGACAGACTTGGCTAAAGACTCCCACATTTAAGGAAACTATGGGAGAAAACCGTCCCAAGGTTTTTTTCCTTAGGACATAGAGATTTGTGCTAGCTTGTTACTGAAAGGGGAACTCACACCCAGTACAAGGTAAATACTGCTCACTTAAAGATGGGGTTCTGTAGTTAGAACTACTGCCATTGCTTCTTGCTCCTTTTTCAGCATTAAGTATTCAAATACAAAGACGGTGTCGGTGCATTTTATGCTCATTTTACATGCTCTGATCTAATAGAGCTGATGTTCCTTGTTTTTTTTTTATCAAAGCAACAGCATCTTTTTCATCTCTATGCTCAAATTGGCTTTGTGAAAATATGGAGAGGCACTGAAAAAAATCATATAGGGGTGAAGAATTATATTTTTTCTTTGGTTACGTACTCAGTCCCAGTGGTATCTAGGCATATAACAAGTATAAACATTACAAAGCAGAAATTAAGTTGTGCAATGATCTGTCACTGGCAGCAAGCAGAGGCCACTGTTGTGGCTTTTAGGCAACCACATATACACAGCATTTAATTCTAAACTCCTGGCAGTTGGATCCAAAAGCTCAGCTGAAGAGAAGTGACATTCATGCAGATACTTAAGCTGGTTGAGGGCAGTCATGCACACCAAAACACATTTTGCTCTATCAGAACTGTATTAAAACATGTTACCTGCAGTACAGTCAAGATGTAAGAGTTGTGAGTGATGGCTCATTCTGAGTCAACAAGAAGTCATGAAGTTAGATGTGAATCTTCTTTAGAGAAGATTCAGTCAGGTATGGACCAGTATCCTAATTCCTCAGACTGGCATCTGTAGAGGGGCTTCTTAGTAATTCTCTGCACATCTAGTGTGTTAGGGTATGGACAGGTGTTCATGTGTAGTGCTTTGAAGTGTCACAGCACATTGTAGCACTACAAAATTGTAGCACTTTGGGATGTATGGGTATTCCAGCTCCCTGGTTGGAGAGCTATAATGTCACCTCCAGCCACTAGGCAACATAAGACTACTGGATAGAAGACTATTAGATGGAAGATCCTCCACCCCAGGTGAAGCCCACTGAAAGTTTACCCTACTGAGGAAAGGGGCAGGCTACCATTGTGCACCTGGCAGCTGCTGAAAAGCAGCAGCTGCCAAAGACATGCCTTGGCTGCTTATGGGACTGACGAGGGTGAGGAAAATTGCGCTCTCACTCTTCCCACCACCAGTAGGACTCTCTCCAGGACTAACTCCAAGACTGACTGTCCCCAGGGTTTGCATCAGGACTGTTCAAGGGGTGGCAGGAAGTGCCCATCTCCACTGTCAGGGTTGGGGAGGAAGAGCAGAGGACTGTAGGATGCTGGGTATCCTAGATACCCCTGTAGCACTATGTGTAACTGTACAGGCATTAGTTATTGTGCTGCAAAATGCAGCACTGCTGAGAAGTCAATTTTCGAAACAGCTAATGGTAATATTTCATAGCAATTTCATAGCACTATATGCTAGAGACAGCCTGAATCGCTATACACTTGCATTTTGTAGCATTGCAAGGGCATATTTAGCACCACAAATGCAACACCTTTCTATAGCTTTACAGCTTTTCTTTTCCCTTGGCTTGCATTCCTAGTAAAACCAAGAATTTATGCTGGTGGCTTTCAAGTCATAAAAAAAAAATAAAAAAATCAAATGACTTCTAATTTTTTTTTGCATGGGTTGGTGTGACACCAGTGAAGATGCTACTCAGGCAATCCATTTGGGAGACAGAATAAGATGCGACTAGCTGTAGGAATTAGGCTAACCTATTACCTCTGAGCACAGTAGGCTAGCTTTTGTTTAGATGGTTTTGGAAATCATTTCAAGGAGAATTTGCAGCAAACAACAAGTGGAGCAGGAAAGAAGAAGCTAACACTTAAACTGTACCTCTTGATTTGGCCAAGTCTGACAATAAGAAGGAAAATGCCACAGAGTTCACACAGCTGTTGCTACATTATTGAATATAATGAACAATATAAACATTATTTTTCTCCTATTTTTTGTTTCTCTGGTATGCCATTGTTGATTCCATCTTTTAAAAAGGTTTAAAAGCAAATTTGAAAATCAAAGCCAGATTCTGTCATATAAGAACTAAATGAAAAAAATAGTTACATTTCTAAAGGGAAAGTTTACAATGTTATGAAAAGATTTACCACCAAAACTGCAATAGATTTCTCAGAGCTGTGTTAAAATGATCATATGAAGGAAAAATTGGAGCTTATATCTAGTCTACCTAAGTCTTTAGTGCAGAGATTTCTGAGCACCAATAGACTGAATTATGGAAGGTTAAGAAAGCTGTCTGAATGCTAAATAAAATATGCTTTAAAAATCTTATATGCTTATTTCATTACATAAGGCATAGGTGATTGAGAGTTTTAAATTAACAGATATGTGGGGAAAATCACAATTATCTCCTCTTTGCCTTTCATCTCTTTTTTTACTCCATCTATTATATGAACTAATTCTTTTCACCTTGGTTGCCCTCTTGTTCAGATTTTCTTTGATTGGCACCTGTGGAGAGTTTTACTCTTAATTTTTTACATGTAAAACCTAGTGTGTATTTATTAAAATCCATTACCAACTTGCTTATAATAGATATTCATCATAGTACAAGAATAACTTATTAAACTATAACAAAAAGAGATTAAACTGTTTCAGAAATTGCTTGCAAACCTGTTTAACTTAATTTTTATTTTCACTTTAAATCTTAATTTAGGATCATTTTAAAAAAATCTCCAGACCCTAAGAATGAATACTATTATTTGACTTTATTTCTTCAACAAAGGCTGTTTAAGAAGCTGACGGGTACACAGCATATGGTGGCTTTTGTTAATATTTCTTTAAAAAATAGCATTACGCAGGTACATCAATTATACTTCAGACTTGGAATGGAGGCATGAATCATAAAACAGCATAGCTACTGAGGTGAAGCAGGTATGGATGACATGATGTAAATATCTGGCCAAATGTTGACTCTCTCAGCTAGGTAGGTAAGCTGTATAGTTACAGGATATTTTATGTTAACATTAATAATTGTGTTCTTGGAACTGCACATTACTTTTATGTACATGAGATGGAAGTGCTTCCTTTTCCCACCTCTGTCAGGTCTTATCTCTCCAGGGCACTGTCATGGCAGAGTCCTGCAGGAGGGCCATGATCTCCTTAGGCCCCCTCTCAGTGCCTATTCGGCCCAAGGGCACCCTCTATTCTTGCCCGCCACGTCTTGGTCTTAAGTTACATTGGGAGGCTGCCTTACGTCTCCTAGGCATGGTTAACTGGGACCTCTGTCCCCGTGTTCTCCCGGACCCACCGGGGTCTCACTGTTCACTGGGTGCGTTCCAGGCACCCTAGCCTTATGGGCTACGCGTGGCTCCTACCAACCCCTAATACCACGCCCCAAGCCTCGCAGATGGGACAGATGTTGTCCGGTCAAAATACACACCTGCTTTCTCGGGTCCTCCTCTGTAATCTAGCCTGCTCTAGGGCCTTCTCCATATGTCTCTATGCTACTGCCCCTTCCTGGGCTCTCACTGTGCCCACTCCAGGCTCTCTCTAATACAGTGCCCCTCACTGGGACTCTTAGTAACACCACCCCTCTCTTGGGACTCTTGAGGCCCACTCTGGGCCTTCTCCAAAATAATCTAGTCCACTTTGGGACGTCCTCTCGAGCCACCGGTATTTTAGGCCCACCGCACTGCTAACCTCTCATTTGCCGGGCACACTGTGCTGCTATCCCCTTTTCCTGGGGACCACCGCAGCACCGCCCTTCTCCTGGGGCACTGTACTGCTAACCCCTTTTCCTCCGGGACAACCGCAGCACCCTGCCCCTGTCCTGGGTTTTCCGTAGTGCTAGCCTGTTACCGGGCTCGCTACACCCGTCCTGGGCCTCTCAATCTTGCCCCCTCTTGGGCCTCTCAAACATTGCCCCTCTTGGGCCTCGCACTGGTCCCCCTTCTCTGGGACCTTCCAGGCTCCCGCTGGGCTCCTTAATAATACCGCCCCCTGTTTGGGGCTATCTATGCCCACCCTGGGCTTCCTAATAAAATCGCCCCTCTCTCTGGGACTTGCTGTGCCCACACTGGGCTCTTTAAATGCCCCTCTCTGGGCTGGGGTCTACACACCCCGCAAGTCGCGCCCTTACTGGCATCAGGGTCCTCACACTCCTGTGAGCCCCCCTATGAGTACTGCGTTCTCCCTGGCACTAGGGCCCCACCCCTCTGGGGTCCCTATGAGGCCTCCTCCAACCCCTAATAGCCTCACCCAAACCACCGGTGTAATACAAACACTAAAGCAAACACCAGCCTCCTGGCTATAACCAAAACCCAAGGCACTGGGCCATAACAACATAAGCCTCCTGGCTGTAATTTAACATCATTGCTCCAGCCTCTGGAGCTCTTGCAAGCTATACTCATGATCAGGGTTCTCCCTATATCCTGGCTGAGGAAGCTCCTACCTCTCCAGCTTCTAACAGGGAACTGCCAGCCTGGCTTCAGTCCTGGGCTTTATAAGGGCCAGGCCCTGCCTCCTACAGGCAGCTGATTCTCATTAGTTGCCCCGGCAACCTGCAGCTGTGCTCATTATCGCTGCTAAGGCTTTTCCCCAGCAGTTCTCTCCTCTCTAGGAGTGAGGTGTGCTGCGACAGGCACATTAAAAACGTGACTGAAGTCAATCACTCTGATGATGAAAAGAAAGCTAGCAGTGGTGCAGAGCTAGTTTCCATTGACTTTCTGTTGCTGTTATGAAGAATAATTCAATGATTATCTATATGTATTGAAATAATGCATTAAAGGTGGCAGACGCATATTAAATACAACCAGTTTAGCATTTCAAATAGAGTAAGTAGCATTTAAAAACTTCCCAATGGATTTCATAGGGGTTATGGTTAATTCTTTTCCAGGTAGTTAATGGGATTGGCTAAAAACTATGGGTAGTATTGGGAACAGATGGACATTGTGGTATATATTGGAAGGTAACTCAAGAATTTACATAGACATACAAATTTAAAAGTGTGTCCAAACTTGTCAAACCTAGATATCTTAAGTTAGGCTTCTAAATCCATATGTAAGGTTCATTTTTTCTAATTTGACTGATATTCAGGTATGCAAAGCATTGGCATTTTCCATGGATTACGGTGGGATTTGTGGGTGCTTGTTATTTGCAATCAGTGATATTACTCACTGTGTAAAGTTAATTAACTGAATAAATCTTTGCAAGACTTCAGCCTTATTGCTGTCAATTTGGGGAAAATATGTTGTGTTCTTAAGGCAAAACAAAGGTTAATTTCCTAGCCAAAATTCATCCCTACCATACTCAAAGTTCACATTTTTCTGAATTTATGCCCCTCTCATTTGGATTTGGTGTCTCATTGAAGGGAACTAGAGATTTGAGAAGTGCAGTAAGAAAGACAAGAGAATGAGAAGGAAGACTGAGAGTGCAAGTGAGAAGAGGATGAAAGGGACCTGAGGAGGAGATGCCTGAGCAGGATCTGAGGTAAGAAAGGTAGTAGAATAACTCCTACATGTGGGGATTGATAGTACTGAAGAAATCAATGGGGTGAATACAGGTGCTTGTGATGGCACCTTGGACTGCTCTGTGATACTGGTTCATTCTGCTGTTCCTGGTAGATGGTTGCCCTGAGTTTTTCTGAGTCCTCCTATACATCCAGAAAGCTACATGCTGAGAATCCACACTCATTTGGCCTGGGATTGCAGATGCCTGGACCCACTTGTAAGTCATGCCTAACAGTTGCAATCACACCCTTAACAGCTTAATTTGTCTATGACCAAGGGCCCAACTCAGGGGTAGGCAATTATATGGCCTGGAGGACCACTTAAGGAGCTTCCATGAGCTGTTGCAGGTCTGGGAGGACGGTACTAACCTGGGCTGGTGCAATATCCTCATTTCTTATCAGGCACTATTTAATTTTTAGGGTAGTAGGAATATTCCATCACATGCTCTGTTTACATATCTCTTTTGTATAGTGTGAACCATTCATTGTGCTTCTCTGATTTATGAGAATTGCTGTGTTAATATTTACCAGTCTCTGTATTCATTTACAGATGCAGCTTATGCTCTATCTCCTCTATGCATCCACTGAAAGACCTAATGGCACTGTCTAATGTTGTAGTACATTATCAGACTCTAAATACACAAAGGTCCATATTAGAAATACATTCAAAAACATTTTGCACTTTCACCAAACTTCACATTGCTCATTGCCCTCCAGGTGCTGGAACATAACAGAGCATAACCACATAGCACTGATGAACTTACCCACTTCAGACTTCTAAGCTGTTGATGTGAAATCCCTGAATTCTGATGTCATCAGATAGTCAGCTTTCCTTAAAAAGTTACTATACTAAGAGTGATGAAAAGAAGCTGTAAACTAAATACCTTCAAAGTGCAAATTGCAATGCAGAACCTGAGTTTTCAGTTTATTCAAATATAACAGAAGAATGTTAAAAGGAGAAAGAAAAAGACAGGAATAAAATAGAAATGAGAGAGGAGAAAAAAAAATGCATCTCATCCCCAAAAGTGACCAAATTATTGAAGAGTGGCAGTGGAAACGGCCTGTTTTGGATTTTCTTAGCTATTCTTTATTTATTACATTTTTGTGCTCTGAAAATAAGGTGATTAGCATTCACTGAATTTAATAGATATACTTTTTAAGTATTTATTATAGCAACCTTCATGCTACATCACTATAAAAGTATTAAATTCAACTATACTAAATCATTATGGTATGTTAAATATTTGCAGTTTTTGTTAACAGAAATTTGAAGAGAAAATAAGCTTGATTAAAGCCAGGGTTTTTTTTAAGTTGCAGATGATTGCTGCATATTATTGTAAGTCTGCCTACTAACATATGTTGCATATTCAGTTGGGAACAACATTTATGGCTTAATATGGTGAAAGCTGAATTAGTGATTGTTGTCATGACACTTTTCTCTGGAAGATTAGCGTGTTGCCATTCTAGCATCCGCTGCTATTACTGAAATAATGAGATTTGTGGATTATACGAACTTGCCCCTTGTCTAGCATAATGAGCTGATGAAACAATTGTACAAGAAAAATGTTCCATTATTAGTAATAAAATAATGAAGGCATTCACAGTAGCCCTTGGAACAACTTTTAAAGGATGCTTTGCTTTATTTTCATGTTCTGGCTTCAATGAAAAAGGCAAATACCAAGCTGTGGCTGAGTAGTATCAGGAAGATTTAATTCCCAGTAATAAATACAGCATTGCTTGTTCTTCCGAGAGTAACACCATAGCTGGACTTTATCTGGAAAGCAGTATTCTCCTTTTTAGCTATAGAATAGGATGGCTAATAGCGATTGAGACAATGGTTGATTTACCACATATAATACTGTTAATGATTGCAACCAAAATAAGATAGAGAGCTTAGGGTTGTTCAGGAGTGAGACATTTGTCACCGAAAGGTAAGGAGCAGGTTAGCTGGTTTGATAATTGGGACGGTTAGGATCCCTAAGGTTTGGGAAAGTCTCTTCAGCATATTCCATCTCCTTCTCTGAACACCACTGAATCTCTTGTCCCTTGCTGAAAATGGGAGTCCAGGTTGGTTAGGGTCCCAGCATAGTGATTCTCAATTTAACTAATAGAGTTGTCCAGTTAGTAAAGGTGTTTGGCATTTCAAATCCCAGATCATGAAGTCCTTGATTGGACAAGAGCTGAGAAAAGGAAGCTGTGCCCTGAGTAGCAGTAAAGATGCTTCTGAAACTGTCTTTTGATTTTTTTAAATAAGGAAGAGGATCATCAGGATCTGTTCCTGAGTCACTCAGTGGTGTTTACCAGTTTGCTCTTCCCGGTAGAAATTGAGAAACTAACCCCTACCCTAAGACTCTGAGGCCACAATAGCTGTAAATGGATATGGTATGAGAGGCAAGAAGCCACCTCCAGGATCAGTGACAAGTACACCACTCCTTGCGCATCTGGTGAGAGCAGATTGTATTTCTTGTTCTTGCTTTAAGAAGCCAAAATCTGTCACATTGACTGTATTTCCACAATGTTAATTCTGGCTATGGACTGCCAAATTGTTCTGTTCTCCATATTAAATATCTAATTAAAATAATAAAGGTTTCCTGATCCAAACAAAAAAAAAAAACTGGCAGAGAAATTCAACTTGAGACTGAAAGGATATTAAAAATCAGATACTCTACATGTGACTCAAATAATCCTAAAACGTACTTTCACATAGACCTGGCTAAACAACAAGCAGGGAGGGAGAAGGGACGTTTTTGTGAACATAAGTTCGAATAAAAAGGATAGATTTGCTTTAATAGCATTTCTGGCTGCATTTCTTCATTTTGAAAACTTTCATGGGAATAAGAGCCTGTTTCCAAGAATGCTTGTGGCAAGAAAAACTACTGTGGATACACATGAAACCTTGTATTCATAGGAATATTCATCCAGAAGTATTCAGTAGCTAATTTGAAAGCTATTTGTTTAAGAAGCATCCAGCCAGAAAATAAAAGCAAATACCACATGACTCAGGCAATCAATTAAAACATAAATTGTGAATTAATTACAAATAGAAAACATAGACATTTACAGACTAAGTTATGTCCAAGGAAGCCTTCCAAATAATTTTGAATATGAAAGAAATTCTTAAACAACCAAGTCTTTCATTGGTTTTTTTTTAACAGTAAAAGGAGCTGAATTCATCAGATTGCTTTTTCAGTTAGTAGCTCTCACTGTTCTACTTTTGGCATTTGAACACAGTACCTTTGATTTTAAGATTAGGTAACTCTGATCATTTGAATTAAATAAATACATGATATTACGTTTCCATTTTGGATGATTACCTAGCCTTTAAACCTGTATTAGCTCTGCCTACATGATTTTTCTACGCTCAAACTAACCTACATTCATCAGAGTCGCATAAAGAAAAAAATTGTTCTTGAACAGTATTACTGGAGTCATCATTTGTTGTAATTATCTCAGACTTAGAACCTATGGGCCCCAGGAAGAAATTACCTGAACTGTGAAGGAGGTTGTTCCATGGATGGAATGGCATGGGTTGGACAACTGGAAAATCCATGTGAAAGAAATATAGTCCCAGAAGTGGGATCTTTACAGTGCAGTTATCAGTCTTCCATATGAAAATACTAGTAGTCATTCAACTAAAGAGTTCTGCCACTTTATAGCAATATGGGAAATCCAGTTCAACTTCCTTGCAGTAGGGACACAGTGATATTGATATGAAGGTATTTATTAGAGCTAGTCAGAACTGTTATGATGAAAGTGTTTGCATTAAAAATGCTAATTCAATGACATTTAAATATTCTGCGAGAACATTTTGATTTCCTTGAAACTTCTGAAGGCAACCAGGCAAGTTTTCTTGGGAATCCTGGAACTTTGTTTTATAAGCAGTGGTCCAGGAATGCTGGAAACCCTAGAGAAAAGCTGGACCTGAGCTTCTACGACTCCATGCCACAGAACCTGAAAGGTCTGTCAGGTCTGGAAGCAACTCAAGACGCCTTGTTAATTTTATTTTGGAAAGTCAGAAGTTAGATTTCCCAAAGAAATCCTATGTTTTCATTATGGTGCAGAATGTTTTTGTTTGTTATTTGTTTGTTTTAATTTTGGAATTTCCTGTAGAGCAGAAATCTGGTTTCCAACCAAGAATCATGCTTACACTATTATATATATATTATTCAGTTTAGAAACTTAATAAATTATACCACTACAAGCTGCTTTTCTATAGCTAGATATAGACATTCATAAAACCCAAGGCAGAATCATTCTATGTTATACAGTTTTCTGTAAGCAACATAGTTTAAATTGGTAGCCAACAAAACACACATTCCCCATTTGGAGGGGGTGGGGGGGAGGGACAAATCTTAGACAAGGCTCCGCCATTTTTAAACCAGTTTATTGGTGCTGAACTTCTGTTCTGTGATGGGTATAGACCAGTTTCTGATCACATATTCTGATAAAAGTGTAATGTCTGTACCCTCTTCTGAGTATGTGTCCCCACTCTGAGGCTAATATCACTATAGCTATATCAGTAAATTAATACCTAGATACACTGATATAACTTTTCTAATGTATACCAGTCATCAGAGGGAGTATCTACAACAAGTTGTGGCTTCCTGTGAAGCAGGAAGGACACTTTCCAGAGAAGTAATTTTAGCCTCTGTGCCTCTATAGGTCCGTAATTGCAGACCTATCACTGAAGAAGCAGCTAAATACAGTTTCTGCATCAAAACAAAAGGTTTGTGGTACAAGGCATACATTTTTGCTCTAGAGGAAGTCTGGGGACCATATGGACAAATCAGAAGAGGCAGTGAATAGTTTTGAGTGGAGAAACAGGAGTAGCTATTTTATATCTATAGTCTGAGTAGACCCCATGTAAAAATGTATGACTGAGATGGGGAGTATTAGGAGTCACCTTCTGATAATACTGGTAACAGTGTTTTTGTCATAATTTCATTAGTTTTAGTGGAGTTACACATGGAGGCTCATTGTCTCATAACCACACTGAAGAACAAAGAAAAACTTCAGTTTGAGCGTGAAAAATTAGCTCTGTCCAACCGATGCAGATGTAAAGAGTTAGGTGATCACCCAGAGTGAAAAGTAATAAGGCTTTATTTCCCAGTGTTGCCAAACTGAGCCAAAGCCATTTAAATCTCAATTTCAAGTCTTACATTTTTCAAAGGCAACAAATTGCTAAGTGAAGTGTCAAGGACCATGGGAAACTAAAATACCCTCCTAATGAAATATACATCTTAATTCACTGAATGTGTAATTCTATTTCTATTGCACAGCACATGACAAATGAATGACAAGCATCTGACAGGGACACCTTATAAGAAATTCAGGGTGGCACAACTGAAAACCTGTCAGAATTATTTATAGGGGATACTGTATCTTGTAAGGATGAAAAGAAATGCAAAGAAATGCAGGAGTAAGGAATTTTCAGTTCCTCTTATGCTAGCTGGATTATAATTTCAGAAAAAGCTATTTGCTTTGACGTGATACCAGTAGCAGATCCAATATGCTGAAAAGAGCTACAGCAGTAGCAGGGAGCTCAATGCACATGTTTCTAGAGGCTAAGACTGGCATTCTTGGTGGCAAAGGAGGCTATGACTACACCCTCTATGATTCTCCCCCCCGTATTTCAGTCCAACTATGGCAGGAGATATGCAGTTTAGTACTTTTGGTAGCTGATATATTAAGCCTACTTTTCTAATTGTGAATCAGCTAGTAGAAGAGAACAAAGACATTTTGTTAGCATGTGTCATATGTCCATTATTGAAAATTTGGGCCCCAATAGCAAAACTGTCTCCTCTAATATCTAATTCCAGGAAGAAAGATGATTGGCAGTTAAGTCACTATTTTATCTATCCAGGCACTAACAGAGACTTTGTGTTTGACTTTACAAAAGTCATTCAGTGGTAGGACAGCAGGGAAGGGGGATTTTTCAAGAGAATTCTAAACAAAAGTGAGTGAAATTCAGAATTTCCATCCTACAGGAAACCAGGACAAAACATTAAGATTTTTCCTGTAGTGGAAATTTAAAAAAAGAAAAAAAGAAAATGC